TATTATTAGAATTTATAACTAGCTAAAATGGTTTGTTCGTTACTGTTCAAACAATTTTTATACCCGTTACTCGAAGAGTAAAAGGGTATATTGTATTCGTGCAAAAGTATGTAACAGCTAGAAGGAAGCGTTTCCGACCCCACAAAGTATATATATTCTTCATCAGGGTCACTAGCCGAGTCGATCTAGCCATGTCCGTCTGTCCGTCTGTCTGTCCGTCTGTCTGTCTGTCTGTCTGTCCGTATGAACGCTGAGATCTCAGAAACTACAAAAGCTAGAAGGTTGAGATTTTCGACACATATTCTTGGGCTTCCTACGCAGCGCAAGTTTATTTCAGACGAGCGCCACGCCCCCTTTTACGCCCGCAGTCGCCCACTAACGATTTTAAAATGTGTCTGGCGGCCACACCTTTAAAGATTTCCGAGAAGTATAAATGCAATTTTGTTGTGTATATTTATACCTATCGAAATGTAGAAGACATTTTTCAAATCGGACCATTCATTAAAAAGTTATACGCAATCCAAAAATATATATCCATCTCCCTCGCACTCCCTTTAGCGAAGTGACGGGTATCAGATAGTCGGGACACGAACCCGACTATAGCGTTCTCTCTTGTTAAGACTGAGTTTCGTAAAAAAAAAGTTAGGGTCTGCGTAAATATAAACCGAAGGAAGTGTGGATATCCAACAAATTTTTTGACTTAGAAATTAAATATTTTCATCTTAGAAAGCTTAGAAAAAAAATTCAGTTTGAGAAACACATTTTTCAAAAGCTCCCCTAAAGGAAAACATATTGAAGTATGAAACTTTTTAATTTAAAAGTTATAGCTGTATGCACTAGTATTTAATTAGGCTTCGAAATATTTATGTATGTATCACTTTGGCTTTAAAGATCCCTCAGCACTGGCTCGAAAAAGGTGTTGGCAGCGAACCCAGAACCAGTTGGCAGAGTTATACTTATGCTTTAAGCAGGAGCATGCGACAAAACTGTGGCTCTGGGTTCGGTGGCTGGGTCTGCGGATCCACTTCCTTCGGAGCCGGGTACTGTTAATTGGACCTGGGCGGGCCCCCCTTTCAGGGGCGTCGGAGTTTGGCAGTGCGTGGCGCACTTAAACGAGGTTAACTGTACTGCGAAGGCATCGCTCGTCTCTGGGCCGCCGCGCAAATTTAATTTCAACTTACGTCAACGCCAGCGCTCGGGGGCCCAAGATCGGAGATCCGAGATCCGAGCGGTCAATGCACGCATTACCAGTTACCAGTTCCCCACCGCCAGCTTATCGGCTGGCGATCGCTGAGCCCCGGCACTTTAGCTCCCAGCTACCAGCGTCCAGCTCCAACTCCCAACTCCCCCTTTCTGTCTTCTGAAATGAACAAAGCCCATCAAATCAGCAACGTGATGCTGCCCTTGGGCCCTCGGTCTGCACTCTCTCTATAAAGCGGTCATAACATTTGCACCACAATAATAGCTGTTATACCAACCGCCGCCCAGCCCCATTCATTCAAGGATAATGTTACGGTTAATGGCGCGGCCGGGCGAGTAATTTAATTTACTCGTACACTCGCCACATGCCCCCAACAAACGAACAACGCGAATTATTATGGCCAAAATTCGCGACTAGACGGCTGCGCAGACGGTGCGCAGATGGAGTTGCAGATGGAGCCGCAGATGCAGATGCAGATAGAGACGGAGATCCCTCATACCGCGGCCATCGGCGATCGTCAGTCGGCCAGACCTTGGAGATGAGACAGTCGGCCAAGTTGGTTCGAACAAATTGCTGGTCTCTATTGCTATAATTTTCTTTGAAACTTTGTAAGCGATGGAATCTAAGGGAAATTTGGGATTTTGGGAAGGTAATAGGATCGAAGATATAAATACTGATTGACTATGTTACGCTTTCTGTGCACATTAAAGGGGCTTACCCCTTAGACGCTGCAGCATGAGTTCGTGGTAATAATAATTTTTACCTTTGTAGATATAAAATAAATAACAATTTTTTTCAATTTTGTCTAAGAAAATATTTAGAAGTAAGAATTAGAAATAGATTTTTATTATTTACTTTTGACTTGATTACGTTTTAAATACACGCGCTATTACTAGACGAATAGTCTCATATTTCCTTTTAAAACGTTTATTGAATACAGTTTTCATAACCTGGAACTACAAATTCTTTTTCTTTGCCTTGCTCATCTCCAGCAGATTTGGCTCGCTCGCCCGCAGCCGCATTAGATGGCGATCGTGTTTGCTGGCTAATACCCATTATGCCATAAAGCGTTACCAAATCGCCATTAGCACGTCAGGAGGTACGCCCCTGGGAGCAAGGGATGGAAATGGTAATGGGAAATGCAGGACTGGAGGAATGTAGGTGTAGGTAGCGGGCATCGACAATGGATTGATCAAATAAATTGCAACGATGGACATATCGATAACGATCAATAATGATAATGGTAGTGGCGAAGTCGATGATGATGGACCTGAGCAGTGGGCATGGGAGATGGCCGGCCAGTGATGAAATTGTTGCCTTCGATTTTGGCTAATTGCAGGAGTCCATTTGAAATGCCTACTTAGGGCTAATTGGTCCCCTCGGAAGCGCCGCCAAGAAATGTACAAACATTTCACGCTGTGCCTGTCATGGATGTTGTAATTGATGCTGCCGCCTCCAGGCTCTAGGCTCCAGGTTCCAGGTTCTAGGTTCCAGATTCCCGGTTTCTGGCTCCTGCAACATTGTGTGCCATGTCAGGAGATGTCAACCCGCCAGTGTCGGCGACGGGACCACGATGTCCGAGTCCACGACTATGACTATGTCTCCCGACTATGACGATGACGATGACGACGGGGACGGCGAATCTAACAACTTTGATTGACTTGTGATTTGAAGGCGCGCCTAATTGAAGCGAGGCGGCTCAGAAGAGAGAAGCAGATTCTGGGACTGGACCCACTGGACTTCAGACTACGGGTGCACTGGGAAAAATAGGGAAGGACCGTCTTGCAAATCCAATTCGGCTTTAAATAAATCTACATTATGGATTTATTAAAAATTTTATTGAACCATCCAAATGACGCACACCTAAATCTTGATATATGAACAGAAACAAACTTGTCAAAAGATCTGCCCGACCTATGCAGGTCAATTTAATATTTTTGAAAGAGCAAATTATTGGATAACTGACATGATAAAATATTTAACTGATATGTTTGAATTCCAAATCTGTCATTAATCATATCGGTTTTTAATTGATATGAAACAAGTTAAGATTTACCCCGATCTCATATCAATTTGATTTCTGAGGATGTATACCTTACTATACACAAAAAATTTATGTATGGGAATAAGCAACAAAAAAAATTCAAACGAAATAAATAATTGGTAAATAGCTAAGAAATACAAGTTTTATATTTTTTGTGGTGTATCCCGTGATAACACAAACACCTATTTTTTATTAACCGGACATATTCAGCCAAAAGACCTTAATAATTTCCGTCTTGTCTTCAAAGTGTTTACCGATGATTAACGTAGAAACATGATATAAACAATTTCTTTTTTATAGCCTCTTACACAATCAAATCCAATGTAGGATCTTTGAAATATTTAACCTAATAAACAAATTAAATTTCCATTTTCTTATATCCCTTTTAGACAAATACTTTTTGCATTCTTTAGGATAGTAATCCTTTTAGTTACTACTTGAGAATTCGATTTCAAACATTTGATGACCATCCCTTTGCAGCGAACTATAATGGCTATAATATTTATCTCAGTGCCCTCGGCTAGACAAGAGCTCCTTGTGTTGACTGCTCTGGTAAAATGTTCGTGAGAAATGTCATTAATACGAACGATGTGACTGCCTGGAGATGTGGATGTGAATGTTGCCGGGCCATCCTCCATCCCGCCCTTTGCCACTCTATCCGCACCGCATTGTTGCACTTAATTAATGTGAGGATGAAGAGACTCCTGCCGCCCTTCGTTCCCCGAGCAGCTCGCATCCTCTTGGCGAACACGCCCTCGGCATGACTCGATGTGGTCAGTAGTCCCTGGACCGGACTGGATCGGACCGAACCAATGCCACGCCATATATGGGGTCAAGTCGTCAGAGGCGTCGTCGAGTCTTGCAGTGGGAATGGCTCCGTGGAGCACTTAGAACCGGGCGATAATGGTCGAACGTTTATCTATTCCAAACAGCCGTTCTGGACGAGCTGCACCCAATCCAATCGCAATCTGAAAGGCGTTAACAAATTATTTGAAACATGTAGCGCCGCGTTGGCATCCAATAATCCTCCCCGCACTTAGATCCCAGCCCGGCCGTCCTGCTCCTTCTCGGGAGACCCCCGTCTGTGGGCCAAGCAGGCGTTAATAGGCATTGCGATGCCAATAATTTGCAATTATACTTAATTGTAATCGTCATTGCTGATGTTCCTGTGCGGCAATTGAGAGTTGTTATTCTGTTTTGTTTTTGTTTTTCTTTTATTGAGATTGGCTTGCTCACCGCGTGTGTGTTTGTGTGGCTCGGGGCCATTGCTATATGTACAACATTTCGTGTTTGCTTAAGCGATCGTTTTACTTGGCTAGACAAATGTTTATTAAGCCTATTACTTACTGGTATATGTGTGTTCGCAGGGGCAAAACATCTGTATACATAAGGCTGGCAAACATGGCTGGACATCAGGTGGATTCATATCTCCTCTCTTCTTTCGAGCATATTTTATACAATTAAATTTAATGCTTTTTGCGCACTACTTGCCGCCACATCTTATCCACATGATTTACCCCTGCGTTCTTGAGTTTTTCAAAAGCAGTGCTGTTCAAATATTATAAAAATTTTTAAGTACAATTTACTTTTAAATCACAAGCCAAAAGTAATCTTACTTAGATTTTTTAAACGTTTAAAAACACGGTAACATTATTTAGGAATCCAGGCCAGTAAATTGCTTTCGAAGACTTATGCGCTAAAATCCTTGCTATAGCGAGAGTGTAAGATGTAACCAGTGAGATATACCAGTGGTTGATATCGCTAGACTAGGACTTCCCACTGCAGATCCAATGCATCGTCATGGGAATCCCTCCTCCACTGACCCAAAGGAATATATCAAAATTCCTGCGTTCAGGCCGGGTCTGATCCTTAATTTACTAGGTCGTTATGTGTATTCTTCGTATCGCAAAACTTAGATGCAAAGAGCTTAGCAGTTATGACAAAAATATTACACTATTTGAAATGATCGGAGAATATCAATTCGCTTATTGCTGCTCCTTGGGAGCCGTAGCTTAATGCTAAGAAAAAATACTCAGTTCCAGTGTTCTCGATGCTCGATACTCCTCACTCTGTCGGATACTCAGTACAGGATGCCGGGATGAACGGCCCCGCTGCGCTGGAAGTACACATTCGGATTGCTGCTCAACGTGGGCTCCAGCGTCGTGTAGAGATTCGTTTCGTCGGGTCGTATAAACATGCCTACAAAAAAACGTATTTATAGTGTCTTTCGCGTTAATGAAAATTTTTATGAACATATTTAATGAAGATTCGGTAATATTGCTTGTATGCAGGGATGGCTAATCACAAGTAATGTAGCTAAATATTTTTTTTTTAATTCTCATTAAAGTATCTATATATATTAAACTTAACAGCCTATGCTCTTTTCTCAAGATAGAAATAATGAGCGATAACTTACTGTTCCATACACAGTTAACTGTACACTGATAAAAACGTTATAAATATAAAATTTAACAATTACAGTTAATTTTCTATTTTATACCCTAATTCAAAAATCTTTAAATTAAATTATTAGGTTTAATGTGTTTACTTTTCCACTACAATTTTTTTATTTTCAGGTTTTTTTAGTGACGTAACAAAACTTTTAGAAAAAACTTTAGAAGTTAGAATATCAAACTCCTAAAAAAAAGTTTTATTTTTTTCCCCTGCTACTCGTTTGGTAATATTTGTTTTTGATATAAATTATCTAAAACTAAACCAAAATGTTTAAAATTAAGATAAATAAATAGATAGATCAGTACTTTTGGACTGAGTTTTATTGACTTTCAAAAGTTTCCCAACTTCTAGACATCTTTTTCAAAATATCAATTTCTAAACCTAAAAAATAATATATTTTTTAGTTTTCCCTAAGGAAAAAATTAGTTTCTTTGTTGATTTTAAAGCTTTCGATTTCTACAAGTGTTAATTACCAAAAGGTAGATCAAAAATAAGCAGTGTCCTAACCTACAGACCACTCCCCTAAATATTACGTTTTTGTAATTAATTAAAATGTATAATACAGTGGCTTCCCCATACATAAACGTTTCTATTATTTTTTCCGCCAGTGTATATACGAATACTGGATTTTTTTTAGAGTACATTTTGTTCTTATTTATTGTACACTGTAGCCAAAAGTTTAAAATTAGGGTACAGGAAAAAAATCGGCTATAGTTGCTAGGACTTTTGGCCGTCAGAGTACATATATTTGAGCTATTATTAACGATCTTTATCAATTCTCAATATGATTAAATAACTTTATCCAGCCGTGCGAAAAAAACATGGAGTGTTTTTTACTAATATATTAGAGTAGTAATATTGGGTTAAGCGAGGTACATAATGCCCATTGAGTGACACTAGCTTTTAAAGATACAAATGTGTAGCTTTGTGAGTATTACCCTTTGGATGCCTCCCCTGCAGACAAACCCCAATATACCTAGGGGACTGTTAGCAATCGGTGAGTATTACCTGGCGCATAGCGCAACGTTTTGGCCAATTGCGCCGCTTGTGTCATGGAGGTTAGCGAGTTGCCCAACTGTTTGAGGGTCAACGGCGTGAGCGTGGGCGGTGCGGCTTGCTGTGGTGGCGGTGGTTGCGGTGGCAGTGGTGGAGGTGGTGCGGGAGGATAATAGCAGAACGGGTGCGGACTCAGGTGTGCTGGAAAATAGTGATACATACGCGTATAGCTCGGCGGTGCGGCGGTGACCAAAGCAACCCGATCTGTCGGCGGATTGCAGGGATTGGTGGTGCGGTGCGGTGGTGGTGGAGGAGTGGGTGCGTGTGTGGTTGGGAGTCCCAGTGCCCAGATCCCAGAGCCGTGAGTAAAGTTACCAAACCATTAACAAAACCAGTCGTGACCCACACACGCGTATGGGTAATATTACGTATAGGATAAACATATATGTACAGTAATTATTGGTTTTTGACAATAAATGTAAATTCAATTAAGTTTCGAAAAGGTAAAGATACCGGAAACAAAACCAAAAGAGTCAACCAATAATGAAAAAAGGTTCCAAGTGATTGATGAACATAATAGTAATGAAAAAATTACAGAAACAACACGAATGGATTATGAAATGACATATGCAAGTGTGCGAGTCGTGAGCGTGTCGAGAATTTTTTGATTACATTTGACAAAATGTGAGGGTGATGACGGAGGAGAAGTTCGATAGGGAGAAGATAAATGTTGTCGTTGCGATGAGGATGATGATATTTTTGTTTCGAGTTCGTTGTTGATGTTGTAGATGAGTGTCGTGTTGGTTGGCGGTGGTGTTTGATGAGATATGTATGCATAACAAGACAAATAAAAAGTAAACAAACAGATAAAATAATAATAAATATTTAGGTATTTATATTGTTTTCATGTGCTTTGAGTGCAACCAAGTTTTAGCCATATGTTCGTAGATAAATCACAGAAGATGTCACAACTTCTGCCCATGGTCAGCCATAATTGGCCTGACCCAGAGCCCGAGCCCAGACACAGATGTTCCCAATTCGTGGAAATTACCTTGCCATATTTCACACTTTTGCCGGCCAATTTATGGCGGACCTAATGATGTCAAACGATTTCATGTCAATGGGTTAACTCTACACCCTCAAGCCATAGAGAAAGTCTCGGTGGTATGCATTTATTTTTGTTTTACGGGTATTGGGCAAAAACCTCAAGCTATTTTCATCGGAATCTTAATAGGTTTGTGTTGGACTGAGAAAACAGTTTTTGCTCTCGTTTATCCCATTTGCAGGGCTGTGGCCTTGATTAACTTTAGGGGTTAGTAAAACCCATGTGGAGAAATTCCCAGGGGCCTGAAGCACATCCAATTTTTTTATCGCACCCAATAAAAAATACGCGCCACGGTTGCAGTTGCAATACGTTTAGCCCGAGCAATTTTTTCCCTCTTGTCCGACTTAATAATAATAACCAAACCAGTTCAAGTTTATGCATATTTTTTGTTTCGCCTCCGATTCCTCGGAATCCAGTTTCCCTTTTAGATAAGAACCAGCCCTAATTGTTCGGCTATTTATATCTTTCGTACACTTGTCATAATTAGCAGCCAGTTGTCCTGGCCAAAGCTTTGCTTTCCGAGCCCTGGATCTCTGGTCAAAATTCAGTTAAGACGGGCAAAGCCTAAAAGATGTGAGCCAAGTCAACCGGCAGCAGCCGGGGGTAATAACTTACGATTATTACTATATTTTCAACAGCTCTGTGGGCCAACCGAATGAAACGAGTGGGGCAAACTGTGTTAATGACATGAAAACTGACAAAAAAGACCAGAAAACCGGGCCGAAAAGAGAGGCTGGGAAATCAGGGATCTGAACTCTTGACAGTGCTAAATGCAGCAGTTACACACATGCCAACCTCTTTTCCCGGGCACTTTCTTGGGTTTCTAATTAACTTAGAACAAATACTGCAATTAAGCCCGCTTGTTTTTCTGTGACTTCTGTTCTGCTTCCCCTGCCTCGAATGTGGAATTATGTGTCAGAAAATGAAATGCATGTGTGCGCCAGAATCTGAATCTGTACCTGTATCTGTATCTGTACCCTTACCTGTATCTCCAGATATATCTGTATCTGTATCTGCGGTGGGCAGGCTTTTGCATTTCGCGTTGAAAAAGAAACTAGTTTTCCTACAGCAGCCGCCAGCTGAAGCGGCAAATTTGGCTTAATTCCGTTTTGCCCGAGACCAGCTAGAAAATCTTTCTCTCCGATTTGCGCCGTCTGTCAGCTCATTTGGCCATTATGAATTATGTGCGCCAGCATTAAATATGTTACTTTAGCTCGCAGCCGACAGCCAACTTAACGAAACGAGACGAAATGTAACGAAAAACGCTAATTAAGTGCAAATATGTATGGCCAGTCTCGGGATTGGCGTCCGTGTGCACGTGTTGTGCACTACGTATCCAGGTGTGAGGGCGGCCAAAGGCCTTAAAAATTCTATTTGCCTAGAGATGACAGCGGTACGTGACCCCGAATTCTAATTGTCGTAATACAGGAAATAAAGAGAAACGTATTTACGGAGATCCCCTTATAAATCTTCTCTTAGTAGTCTCTTCATATAAGACCAAGAATATTAAGTACAAAATAATATGGAACGATAAAGAAAAATGTAAAATTTTAATGATTTTCAACTTTAATTCTAAATGTGCGTTCATAAAAAGCTAAAAGAAATGCGGAGCTCTACACATACGAAAATATTTGTTTCCTAGTCTTTATCTAACGTAAGTTATGCGGTTCTACCCCATTAGAAACATGTGCCCAAAGCATGATTTCCCGGCTACCGTAGAAATTCTTTTTATGAATTATTCCCCCTTTAAACTGCGGCGATTTATTCCATCTCCATTATTTCCTCACTTTTAATTCCTCTTCCCGTGTGCTCGACTTCGACTCCGCAGTTTTTACTTTTCCTCACTTGCATTTAATTATTTCTGCCTCTTTCACCGGCTGGGGAAAATTCATTAAAATTGCCCATCTCTAGAGCGGAGACCGAGCCACGTTTTGCATTTTGCAGTTTGCAGTTTGTCGGCTTGCCCCCGCCCCAAGTGCATCTGCTTCCTTACCCTCAGCCCAGTATCTTCTATCTGGCTGGCAACAAGTTAAAGTTAAACCAACTGCCGCACGTTGACTGATTGCTACGTGCAGATTGTCATTGTTCGCCTTTGTTGTAGGCTCAGTTGCCTTTTGCTGCTGTTGTTCTTGCCACAGTTGAGTTCGCTTTTTGTTGCTGTTGCTGTTGCTTTTGCTATTTCTGTTGCTGTTGTTAGTTGCTACATACTTTGCAGACTTGAGTAATTTCTTCGCCGAGCGCTGCCTCTTTGCCTTTCAGCCTTTTCCTCATTGGCTTCGGCGTTGACTCTTTCTTTCTGCCTCTGGCTGCAGCGCCAAAGGTTGTTGCTTTTGCCTTGGCCGTTGTCTGGGCCTTTGAGAGTGAGTTGCCAGATGTTGTGATATCACGAAGCAGCATTATAACTAATTGGCCACGTTCGTTCTAAGCCATCCCCTCCGCTTCCCCATCCCCCTATCCTCTAGCCAGAGTTCATTGTCATGAACTGCGCTGCGGAGGTTTTTCCCTCCCATTTACAGGCGGAAGAAAAACATTTTTCACATGGCCGCAACGGTCGGCAATTTGCATATTTTGGCTAAGGGCGTATGACCTTCGAATTGCTACAATTCAATTTACATTTCTTTTAAATGTGTGCTTCAGTTGGAGTTGCGTGGAAATGAATGGGGAAAACTTTGATCAGACCCTCGGATTAATTTTCTTTTCTTCTGGGATGTAATAATGAATAGGAATTAGAGAAACCAAATCTAACAATTGCATTTAAAATATAATTTATTTTTGTGCCTTCATAATTAAACAATAAATATTTAACACGCTCATTTAAGAAGCTTCCGAGACTGAATAATTTACTATTAAGTTCGAGGCTCAGAGGGCCTAAGACCTTATATCAATCATGCTTTTGGAGCCTAACCATATCGCACATTTTCGATTGCCCCTTGGTTTGCATCCCTGGGCGGCAACCGCAAGCAGACGAAGATACCGTAAGACCGAGGCGATCTCCTGGCCAATTTAGCGTAATAATTTCAGCATGTGCAGTTGGCACACGGCTCATTGGCTCCCTCGGCCTGCTCGGCCCTCCACTCCCCCCGATCGGTTGGCCTGAACCGCTTTGAGCCGGGCTAAGAGCTGGTACCAAGACCTGAGTTGGCTTTTCCGCTTTCGGTTTCATTGCCGCAATTCGGAACTGGTTATCGATTACGTTGCTGGCCGGCTGCTGGCACTTCTAGGCAAAACTAAATATCATCGCTCCACAGCATCCAGCCTGGCTCTCCGATCGCCGAGGCTGCGGCTCTTATTGCAAACCGCTATAATTTTGTGGTAATATACAGTGACGCTCGTTTCAAGCACGTGCTGGCAGCATTTACCCAACTCATATATTAAGTCCCATACACAGGCGCTGCCGCGGACTGCAAACTGAAGTTGGATACGATACTCAACAACACGTACTTCACAGATTTGTACATTACGCCATCGTCATCATCATGATCATCATCTTGCCCATCATCGTTGTCAAGTTTTCTGCTCCGCGCTGCTTGGCTTGCTTTGGTTCTGTTCTTTTGTTTTTGCTCTCGGCTTTTCAATTTCAAGTTCGTTGCCTCTGCTGGTAGTGGTCTCAGAACAATTGAGGCTAATCGAATCTTTTTTATGTCATATTTTCGACAGCTGATGCTGGTCGAACCGTTTCAATGGGTGCCCCAAGGCAAAGCTGGGTTCTAAACAAAGCCAGGTTAACAGAAATCATTTGATTGAAATTGTTGTTTGATGTTCTTTCCAGATTGCTTTAAATTTGGGTCTAATAATTGACAGCTTAAGCAATCAAACAGAACAATTTGAAGCCCAATGTTTGTTCTACCTTGGATAACTTCAAGATAACAATCAAAAATGGTTTTCAATATCAATAATATAGCATTAGTTGGAGTAAGAAAAAGCGTTGCAAATATTATATTTGCGATGCTAAATTGTTTTTTTATAATGTTCTAAATTATTTATTTATTGTACTCTGTGGCCGAAAGTTGAAAACTTAAATCTTAAAAAACGTATTTAAACCTTTCTTGTTTGCTTAAATATTAATATTATGAACAATTATCAATTGGTACCTACTATTTCATATATTAGCAAAACTAATTTTAAAAATGGGTTTCTACGTCAAACAAAAGACTCAGGC